GGAGAACTTATGTTGCTTCATAAGTGACAAAAGGACGGATAGTAAAGCTCCATATGATGTAATGAATAGAAGACAATTTATACCATTGTATACAATTTAGGCATTCTTATTGAGACTAAACGGCAGATTAGCTCTCACTGGGGTCTTATCAGCAACCCAAACGGAATTAAAAACCAAGTCATTCTGTAGGCTACATAGAAGATGCGAGTTTCGTTGAAAATAAAAATTTGTCTTATCGTCAGTTTAGGTCCTTCTTTCACCTTAAGTGGCTTAAGGTTACTCGATTTCTCATTAAAGAGCAACTGATAATTTGTAAACCCATTCCTATTTTGTAAATTTAGTAAAGTTTAAGGCAAAGACCCTTAGTATATACAGAGAAAAGTTGGGTTTCGAGGAATCTCTTGTTTCATAATTGTTGAGCTTACTTCCATTTCGAGTGGAGATGGTTGGCGAAGTGATTCGAAGGTCTATCTCACAAGAAGACAACGGCGGATTTCTCTCGACCAGCTGTCAACTGGCTTTACTGGAACAACCATGTTGACACCGAGGTAATCTCCTTCGATTCCGGTGAAAAGGTGCTAAGCTATCGTCCATCACATGACGAACAGCATCAAAGCAAGGTATCATCCTCATAACCAAATTCAAGCTAACCAGTCAAAAAAAACTCACCGGCAAATCCCTAAAAAGCTACATATATATTATATATCTGGCCTCTTTGATCAGGTATAAGGTGTTTTGGTTAGTTACGTTCATATGTCGACCTCGAAGCTTGTGAATGTGTCTGTCTCTGTATGCGTATGTTTCTGTTTGTGTTCGCTTATGCACGAAACCCGCAGAGATGGCTCAAAGTAATTAGGACAGCAAAATTAACGTCTGTTATCAGCCATCAAGGTTTGATGACCTCCATCACCACTTCTCTGTATATATTTTAATCAGCAATCCGATTGCGCAAAGTCTTCTTCTGGTGGAATCGATCTTCGAATCTCTTTCCAAGCACTTTTACTCGAAATCAAAGTGAGCTCAACTAAGGCCCTTTGTGAAGTGTCCGCACCAGCCTTGAAGTTCTATAGTCATATTTTTAATGGCACTTGAGGTCCTATGAAGATCATTAAGTAAGTTAAAACGATGAAAATTGATGGTAGAAAATTTAATTGCTACCTGATCTTCAAAAGGTCTTCTTTTATTAAAGGTATCCGTAGGGGTCTTAAAAAGTAGCTGACCATCCAGAGTCCTGTATCGGAGGAGACTGCCAATCTCACTCAAGAATTGGGGTTGTCCCTGCTCATTGTAATTAGCTTCACAACGATTCTCTTCATTTACATTTTCTATGCCTCCTTGTGGTTGGTTTATGAGGCGGATTGTATTTCTTCTATAGTTTTCATTGTCTTCCCAGCTTCTGACCTCGGCTTCCTCATTATTGCAGCTCATCTCAAGGGCATTGGGGCCTGATTTTTCGGGATATTCGTAAAATGGGTTCGTATGGCGTTCGCCAGCCTTTCTTTCATGAGCCAATAAAATGTGTCTTGTAGAAATTGTTTGCCCGGGTGGCGTAATACAGTCGTTGCCACAATCAGCTAGGCTGCGGACGTCAGAATGACTATGGCTTGGCCAGTCTACCAGATGAAATCCGGGAGACTCAAGTGGGCTCATTTCTACAAAACCATTGGTAACTGAATGCAAGGAAGAAGGACCAGAAAGCAAATAAGTACTAATATGTTAATGGAGTCATTAGATATCACAGTAGAAGATTGGACAATATTAATTTAATTCTGCTCCTAGGCTGCATTCCAGTCAGTTGCAGTTTAGCTTCGATATGTCAAGAGTGTATCAGCCGAACAATGAACACAGTCTCTCTTGAAGTTTATGACAATACTGGAGGATACTTGAAATGTCCTTAATTGTGTCAAGGTAAAAGACAAGAAGAGTACAATTATGAGACTGAATTATCAGCATGCTCGAAAAAAATAGGCACCATGTGGCGTTACAAGCAAGGAAATGTTAAGCCAGTGAAGATCATAAAATAACAGCGCCTCAATAACTAAGACACTTTTTATGCAGTAGAATTATGCTTGACTATGAGTTCTACATTTTAATTCGACTCTATTTTTACCTTTTAGGATTTGCTAAGGTAACAACTGACTGAGGCTAATAAGAACAAAAGGAAGCAATATATAAATGATAATGAAATATTACTTATACTAAAGTGCAATTTCGGCTTAGAAGCGATTAAAATTGTAGTAACTTCTTTAAAAAGTTTTATACTACCTATATGATATAAGTAGATGATTCTACTCACAGGAATTTGTTTGAGTATCTGATGCATGTGTCATGCTGTTGATGCTCAGCTTTCGCCGTCTCAGTGTCGTGGGGTTTGTCGGTTGTTGTTGAATTATGACATGTCTGTCTCCACATCTCGACATAGGGGGAGAGGAATCTGCTGATACGAGGGATGAGGAAGAAGTTGAAAAAGCTGAGGAACTCCCAGAACATTTACCATATTGATGGCCGAACCTGCTATTCGTCTCCAGCACTAATTTAGCGCCTTCTGACAGTCCAGTAGGTGATACATTTTCAAGAAAAGTTCTCCATCTGAACGTTACATTCACACCAGCATCTATAGAAACAGAAAATTTGCTAAACTTAAGCAGATAATGAACCGTTCTAAATTTCTTAGAGGCCTCCTACTAGGACAAAATAGGGCATGCAATCATAGCAATGACAGTGGTTTATAGGAATCTATATTGAATAAAAGAGGCACATTAAATGTTACTTAGTTATTCCATATTCTGATGAATAAAATAACTAATATAAATGTAAGTGGTATCTAAAGTTGAATATCATTTTAAATACGCGATGTACAATGGATTTCGTCGCATGGATTACACAATACCAAGGGCTTACGTGCACAACGAGCACAATGAGAGTAACTCAAAAGATTCAGGATAATATGGATTACCGGTGTTTCAAATAAAAGCTTGACGAATTTCTGTTCTTTGATTTTTCAGTTTATTTGAAAAAGTGAGTAGAACTGATTCGTTAGTTGACCTCATCAAAAGCCAAATGACGGTTGCCTTGATGTTTCAAGTGTTAATTATAGTGTTGAAATCCTCATCCTACCGTTTCTATATTTCGATGGAACCAGCTTTTGTTTATGAAACTTTGAAATAACTCGTCATAACATGACTTAATTTACGAAAACTCCACTAAAACTTCAACCAGAAATTATTTTCGGATGTGATGCTATCTGCACATTATAGCCTAACTTGGTTAACTGAAGTTATTTGCTTATTTCATGCTCTCTACAGGCCTGCAGCTAAATGAAGTGACTACCAATGATGACTAAAGTGGACGCAATTTAGAACAAATAGCTGCTGTCTCGTCAAAAGCATTCGCATTTATATATACCACAATTATGACTTGTTCGAATGCTCCATTTTGCACGAGTACTGTAAACAAGCTATGCCCATAATTTATCTCGTAGCTATGACTAGCTGAGAGGTCAATCAAGCATCTCCATATTACCTACCCCATGAACACCAAACCCTGTCTTAAACTAAACTGGTGAAAGGATCTGAAAATTTCCAAAAATAATTCCTTTTCGGACCATCTCACGGAGTATGGTTGTTCACGTTTCCTTTTAATGTGGTAGCCCCTATGTTTAAACATTCCGGGACATAAAACTTGCAAATATTTGTGTGCCCAGAAACATAATTGGCTGAAAATATGGGTAAAATAAGACACCAATTAAAATAATCTAGAGCAGAACGTATGGTAGAATAGTTAGACTTCATAAGTCAGCAGAAGATTAAAAAATCCACTCAAGTAAAGGAAAAAGTTGCAACCCTGAATTCAGAGGAATATTTGTGGGAAAGTGAATAGTAACAATTTGCTGCTACTGGACCCGATTAGTGAGAGGGAGTCGAAAGAAAAGCTTGATTAGATGACAGAGCTTGATCAGTTTAGAGCCTAGTTAAGTCTCTTACACCACACATTAGTCATGAGCATCACATGCATATAATAAGGCTGCAAAAGAACTAAAGTCAAAATTGTACTATATAAATGCAAGCGCTTCTGGAGAAGGAACAGCTGTTCTGTCTTAACTGTATCCTTTTCATTTGTCATTCGTAGCCAATCACTTATCTGAGAGCATGCAAATGAAGTAAGATATAACTGACTAAATTAAGTGGGATAAAATGGTAGATAGGATATACTCTATAACAATTCCTGGATAAACTTTTAGTCAGGTCTTAATAAAGAGGAAGTTCACATTCTCCCAATGTTTTTTAAAGTATGGTAGACAAAATCTCAGCACGGATTCTCCTGAATCAATGAACATTTCTACATTTAAAGCAAAAGTCATAACGTCAAGATGGGTCTCATCCATGATCCACTAGGAACATGTAATAAATTCTTTAAACCCACTTTTGTAACCAATTGAAGGTTATAATAATATAACTCATGGTAAAACTGATTAAGATTGATTATAAAATAACACGATTTCTTCTATCCTTCATTTTCCGTCCATTCATCAAACTATTTTTATATAACAACTTAACATGTATCTTGTTCTGCGCTCTAGCCATAAAAACACAAAAGCCAAACTTAAGTTAGCTACTTCCATTTGTGCATGCCTACCTGCGTCAGAAATTGAGCATGATGCCTCTCTTGAAAGATCAGTAAAAAGCCAAACGTGGGGCAGGATAATTAGTTTTGATAACTGAGCAGAAGATTAAGGAATCTTTGAAAAGCATGAAAAAAATCCAGCATCTTAATGAAAGAGATATGTATGGCAGCATTTTTTCTTCTTGCTGATAGGGTTCGAAATGTTGACAAAGGTTAAACCATGGGGCTAGCCTAATGAGGCGATAATCATTTTGCACCTATTTTTTGCCTCGTGCACTCAAAGATTCTTTCTTTTCTTTCAAGCTGTATTTACATGTCTTGGAGATCAAGATGTCCTGTAGAGTGGTGACATCTGAGACATGATGAACTTTCATTCGCTTTTGCAGTTCACGATAAGAGTATTAAACTTGCCTAAAGATATTTTAATGCATAAAGAAGATGATTCCTGATGTCCTCAACACAATTTTTCCAGTTATTTTTGGAATTATTTTATATTTGTTTATATGGCTTCTGGATTGGCCTTTGCATAATCCCTTAATCCAGTGCCCAAAACCCTCTAAAATCCCATAATTGGCTTTGCAAGATAAATTAACATCTTTGTGATAATTTTTACATGCACTCAAAAGCCTGAGAAAGATAAAGACATGTAAAAGTAAAAATGTTAGTTGGTTTAGTTGCCGAGGCAATTCGCTATGTCTAGCAACATATGCTAAAC